TTATACTTTTAAAGTCTAGTAACCTCAAATTAAACCAATCATGATGCGCCTGTGGAAGAATGACTGACTTCAGGTGGTCATATCTATCTTTCAAAGTATTCCACAGTATAAGGGGGTCTTTAATAGTGAGGTATTGAATTTTCAACCCCTCGTCAAGATGGTGGCAGAGAAATATCAAAGCTTTAGCCCGATCTTGGATGGATGCCTAGTTATTATCTTTGATGGTGTCTACCAGACTCATCGCATCCAGATGAATTTAAGCGTCTAAGATTCATGACGAGTATCCTTTGCCCGATATATCCAAGGCAACAAATTCAAGTTTAGAAATATTAGACATTTTTAGATAAATAAAATTCTTGTCCTTTTTACCTATTTAGAGTAGCTCGAGTTGGCGGAGTCTCGTGCTGATAACGTGTTATAAAAGAACTAAAAGTAACAAAACTTAAAGAAAAATAATAGAGGGAGAAAGTAGTGTATTTATTCCTTCATTTCCATTCTACATTCAAATGAGTAACAAGCCTTTTATAGGCAGAGTGCATGTGGTAGTAAATGGCTGACACAAGCCATCCATCACTTTGCATAAGTAGTGCACAAATACCACACTTTCAACCTTGCCATGCACATACTATCCACATATTATGTTGAGACATCCACATTCACAATATGTTATAACTTATAAAAATATTCTTATTTAGTTAATACAATTAATATTTTCTCTTTAATATTATTGGTATATTTTAAAATAACAATCAATTTTAGGGCCTATTTAGATTGGCTTAAAAGTTGTTTAGTTTCTGAAAGTGTTGACAAGGTTAAAAATAACATAAAATAAATTTAAATGATTTTAAAAAAATTAAAAATCAAAAGTATGTCTCCCCTACATTTTATTTTTGACTTAAAAATTACCTTTTTAAAGTCAGTCCAAACGGGCTCCTAGTCATAAATATCTAATGTGACAATCTTTTGAGATAAATTTTTAAAATTAAAGTTATCACACCCCTAACTAGAAAGGGGAAGACATCAAGGATATACACAAACACCTGCTAATTATCTTTACTAATCTCATGCCAAAGATGTAGATTCATAAGCAGCGGAACCTATATGAAGACACATACTAAATCATAGATAACAAAAGGGTCCGTTGGGATACTTTACAACGGAAACAAAACTAAGTCTAAGAAACCTCTAAAGAGTATGCACATGAGAATCTGATAACTAGTCGGGACAGGACCCCGACATACCCATTCTGATATATGTACATACGTAGCAAAATGTAGGCTCTAAATATCTTATAACTCCAGATAGAGGTGGAGCTTACCAACTGCTAAACTGAAAGTCTCTAGTCTACTGCCAATGCTTGTTGTCCTAAGTACCTGAGCCTGTAGTGATACAAATGAAGCGCCACAATAATAGGAATGTCAATACATATAAAACATGTACTGGTATGTAAAGCAGATTGAATAACAAGTAGACATGTAAGAATGCTAAAATGCATCAAATATTAAGATAGGTAAATCTGAGCATATGTATGCAAGAGACATTATTCGTAACTGAAATTGTGACCAACCTCAAGGGTCCTCATCTAACATATTGTGGCTTAGTCATTTATATGTAGAATCCTTATAATTTGCCTAAGTGATATCTTTACTTCATTATATCGCTTCTTTGCTTTTTGTAAAACTAACTATCAGGGAATCACATGATGGCCTACTGACGGCGATTAGTGAACCCTGTATGGCATTTGTAGCCCACTGTCACGACCACACATGAAATCTATTAGTCTGGACAACGAGGTCTATCAAGGTACGCCCCCTCAGGGCTCCTATATGGTCTGCCCGCATGCCTGTATCAGTCAGGTGAATCCACGACAAGAAATTTCAGCTGACTATATCTAAATTATGTGCACAGAGTAGCATCGCACGTAGTAGCCCTAAAAATACCCACCCCACGTTGTAGAGTAGTCTATAATCTCAACTGCATGCAAATATTTATAATAATTAATTCATTAATCACATAGCTCGTGATACAATTTGTGATTACTTTCTTTAGCTTGAGAATCATATATCTTGTGACCTATACACTTACGAATAGTCTGTGGCCAACTGCTTTCTTTAAATTTATGCAGCCTGTATACCACTAACTTGTAAGAGTTTCAATTGTAGACAAATATAGTTGTGTGAAACATATTGCTTCCTTGAGGAGTACTGTAACTCTATAGGTTAGGACTTAACATAAGAGGATTTATAAAATAGGATAACTTTCTTTCAAGTATCATAGAATCTCTAGTGACATTTATCGGAAGAACATGCGAGTTTAGGTAGTGCCTTAAGGGCAAAATAGGTTTTAGCTTTACATACCTTACTTCGGGACTTACTATCTTAGGTCGTCAAACTCCTTGCTGACAACTTTATCTATAACATAAAACCATAAAAGAATAGTATAAGAAACTAATCAAGAATCACAACAAGGCAAAAAACACAATAATAGTTCACGAGCGACAATCTCAACAATTACCATAGATGAATGGTGTATCGCCACACCCTTCTCTTTCTCTACTTTTCAAGTAGGCTTATGACTTATTTACATGTTTAGTATTACTCCTCAATCCTTTAACCATAAAGAACCAGCCCCCTTAATGATCCACACTTAACATAAAAAGTAAGACTCATGGCCTCCGAACACCATCCCATAGGTTCTTTGTTAACGATGTCAAATTCCTTTATAAGCTCATAGTTTAAGTTGATAGAGAACTAATGCCATAAATTAAAATAATAGGAGCTCATATAACCATCTATAACATATTCTTAGCGATTTAGGCATTTCATCAAGCACTTGGTGAGCGACAAACTTTCAATCTCACATATAAGAAAGAGAGTGCATACACACACTAGTTATCACCTATCACGTGTCATTACTTTTTATTTTTTATTTTTATTTTCACATATGTTATTTCTAATCTATTTTTAAACAAAAAAATTTTCTTTTCTTCTTCTTCAATTGTTCAGGTACGTTGGAGTACTGTTGCAACCCATACTTTTTTGCTCCTCTTCGCCGCCGCCGGCAATCCTACTGCCACCATGCTATAGTACCATCTCAACCATTTTCTATCGCATAATCAAAATTAAAATTGGAAAATAAAATTTTTTTATCAAATCAATGGCTAACCAAAATGCCTTTGATTATCTGCAAAGACTGAAACACTCTGACTCATATAAGGTATTTTCTACATAGTCTGAACATGGCCTCCGGCGATTTTCGTGATTCTCCCTCAGATGTCGCCATTGTTGTTAATCTCGCCGAAGCCATTTTCGATCTTCCTCAACCACCTCACTCCGCTTTCATATCTTTCTTGTTTCAATAATCATCTCATTAATTTCGATCTCCCTCAATGAAACAGAAGTTTGAAACCTCAATCTTTTAGGTAAAAGAAGATAAAAGGACAAGAAAAACTGAAAAATAAAATAAAATAAATAGAATAAAAAGAAAATAATATTTTTAATTAAATTAATGTTGAAATAAACAAAAAAAAATTTCTTAGGTCACTCACTAGTGGCGAGTGAAGTACACTCTTTGGGCCACGTAGGATTATAGGGGGTAATAAATCCATTTTGAACAAGAATAAGGGGGTACTAGGACCTTTGCAAAGTTTTAGTGTCTTTTTTTTAAAAATGTTATAGTTTAAAGGGGTAATGATGTATTTTCTCTTTCTTTAATGATATCTTTGGCCTAAAACTTTTGTTTAACCCTTCAAATGACTAAATATAAGAAATACATGGTATACTTAACCATTTTCAATGATATACTTCCCCCGATATCACATCTATGCATTGGTGTTTACGAGTCACAAATGTATTTTAAGTTACGGAGTATTACAAAAGCGACAGTTAATAAGAAAGGGAGAAAGTAGTTACCTAGTGAATGTTTGAGGATATGTATCTATTTTTGCCGGCAGAGAGATATGTTTCGAATTAACAAGTATATAGGTATAGTTGGAAACAACACTCTTTTGAATAGTTTAAGGACAAATTGATTCATTTTTTGGAACTTTTTTTAGATTCCTAGTTATTTGTCTAGTTGAAAGGCAATTTTGAGCAAAAAACATAATAATGAGTATATTATTAAACAAAAATATAATGAATAATAAAATTGATCCATTTTATATAACTTTTCACTTCTTTACCCAAAAAAGTCTTTTCTTTATTAGTTCAAAAAGGCAAATGGGGTATTATTAAAGTCAAACGAGGTAGTATTATTTTCAAGATGTTTTTAAAACATAAATGAGAGAATATATATTTTTTGCATTCTTCTAAAAGACATTCATTTATAGGCACCAAATTCATAACATACATGCATTTCCTTTTGTACGAAAAAAACAAATTCAACGAACAAGAATAATATTCCTTTCTTCGTGACACCGACATTTAGAAAGAAAAAAAGAAGTATAAAACACAAGAATTTATTTTAATACTAAAATAATCACTTATTTTTGATTAATACGTGTAAACTTAATTATACAAAAAATATTGCAATTTATAATGTTGCATATTTAAGTTAATTCTGACGGTGCCACGTGACACGTGACACAGACATAATCACATGCTCAACAGTATCCAACCTGTATCCACACTTGGCTTCCTAAGATTGACGATTGTTAATTAGGTTTCCTTAATTAACAACAAATTTTAAATTAATATCTGGTTCATGTGTATGAGAGCCGCATTTATCAATTTTATTCATCCAGATCTTGTAAAGTTTTGATTTTTTTATAATCCCCATAATCAATTATTATACTACTGGTACTAATTTTTGCATCGCCAGATCCGATATTATTCTTCTGACGTTGCTTTCATTTTACTCCAAAAAAAAAAAAAAACTTGACAGAAACCAGAGCTCGCC